CTCCCACCTGCCTGGCACTTGCTCAGTGGAAGCCAAAGCACAAAATCCGTGGCACTTTTCTACACTATTGTTCCTTGGGTTTATGGCTGTTATTACAAAAACATTCTTTGCTGCACCCTTTGGTCCTGCAGGAACTTTGGCTGTTGTCGGCGGTTACAAGGTCAACACAAAGCTGATTCCAAAAGTCTCTTTCCTTTGGGAAACGCTTTGGGAAGGAAAGCAGTTAAGAGGGAAAGGAAGCTTTTGAGCAAGATTTATGCAGCTATCCATCATACAGTGTTCTAGGAGGATTTAAGCTTTTATGTTTAGTGTCATCTAATGAAAACACATAAGAGCTGGTTACTGATCCAAGAGAACACTGCACATCATTACTTTCCCTGTTGTAATTCAAATGAATTTCAGAGTCAGCCTCAATTCCAATGACAGTATCAAACTCTTTAAAGTAGGATTTTGAGAAGAGAGCCTGAAGTTCCAGCTGCAGAGGTTGGTACAGCAGTAAACCTGCACTTTGTGAGCCCCTTGAGACTTCTCAGAACTACCATCAGTCCTTCTAATTTGCTGACACCTCACAGCTTCTCAGGCAGCACAGGCACCTCTGCACAGTTTGACTGCTTTTGCTAGAGGACACAAAGAGGCAAATACGGCTCACTTGATGCATCTGGAGCAGACTGACAGCTGCCAAGGTCTGCTGTTGTCCTTCTCTGTCAGAGAGTTTGTAACACAGCTGTATGCAGTGGAGATGGCTGAATATTTCATCTCACTATTATTATTCAAAATGGAGCTTTCCATTACGAAAATGTTTCTGTGTATTATTTGCTGTTGGAGGCCGGGGCTTTCCACTTTTCCTCCAAATAGATTCATCCAAGTAATTGGGTTTTGCCTTGCTTTTAAAATCTTTTTTTTTTTTTTTTTTTTTTTTTGCTACCTTGGCCCCTAGAGGACACCCTGGAAAAGCTTTTTGGCCTCAGATTTGCTGCCACATGGAAAGACAAAGTGTAGGAGCAAAACCCCAATTATGTAGCTGTTCCCCTGAGAGACAGACGAGCACAGGCACACCTTTTCAGTCCGCAGCTGTCCTTGCACATGGAGACTTCATAAAAATTGGTATTTCTGCCTCCAAACATAGGCACCTTCCCGTCTATTGAACATGGAGTCTGACCTATTGGGATACTCCCTGGAAATGCTCCAGCAATAGGTCTTAATATGTTTCAATTCCCAATTACTTTACAATAACCTGAAGGCATGACATAAAATTGCAGCCAGGAAACAGAAGATGTTTTTTGCCCAGCTCTGTTTTTTCCACACTTTGATTACTGTGGACATCATTGTGCTCTCTGAAAATTAAGCACACAGACAAAAGCAGATATGCTCAGAAAACATCATCCTGTTTTAATCAAGCAATACCCTTCTTAGACACTCTTTCTAAAAGGGTAGGATATTTTTATATTATAAAAGTAAAAACGCTGCTTTTCTTGTGGGTTTTTTTTTGTCTGTTTGTTTGTTTGTTTAAAATTTTACATGTATATAAAAAGAGAGCCGGTATCTAGATCAGTAGCAGCTGCAATAAAGGATTCTGGTTCATCTACAGATCTCTCTATCCTCGTAGTCAGAATTGCACTACAGATAGACAGATACGTGAAATATTTACTCTAAATTGTTCTTGGAAATAGCGCATTGGGGTTTAAGTCATGCAGAAAAGAAAAAAAAAAACCAACATCTTCTCTATTGGTCCACTTGCTTATAAAGCTCCTCCACTGAAAAGCTTCCCTGTTTCTTGTCTTAGGGGGTCTCCCATTCCCTGCTGTAAGGTTTAAGCTTCCTGGGCTACTTGTATCTTCCATTTTGAATGGATAAATTATCCCAATGAAAATCACAGAAGGGCAGAACGGTTTGGGTTGGAAGGGCCCTTACAGCTCATGCAGTTCCACCCCCTGCCATGGGCAGGGACACCTTCCACTAGCCCAGGATGTTCCAAACCCCGTCCAACACTGGACACTTTCAGGGATGAAGAATCTACAACTCCTCTGGGCAACCTGTGCCAGGGCCCTCCTCACCCTCCTAGGGAAAAATTTCTTCCTAATATCCAATCTAACCCCACTCTCTGTCAGTTTGAACCCACTCCCCCTTGTCCTATCACCACATGCTGTTGTAAGCAGTCTCTCTCCATCCTTCTTGTAGCTCCCTTCAGAAAATGTTTTTCTCATCTTAATCCTCTTCCCCACCTTTTTTTCTCTTTGCTTTTTCTTGTTGTTCCATAAAGACTACCTTGTTTTCCCAAAAAAGACTCGTCCACCTCAAACCACGACAACCATCATTCTCCAAGTGTAAATCTTTTTATATTCTTGCTCTTTCATGGCAGAGGTTTCCCCTCAAGGTGACTCTTATTTTTGCTGATGCTAATGAATAATCAATACATCAGTTATATTGAGAAACAAGAAGAAAACAAATCTGAACTTGATATTTCAGATATTTAATGGTGAGATTAAAAGCACACTAATTATTCTGGTCTAGTACAAAGAAAAAAGAAACAAAACTACACCAAACATGCAAGTTGGGGCTGTATAAGCAAGAATATGCATTTCCTTGGATTATTGATCATTAGGGAAACAGCTCAATAGTCATGTTATGTCTTGCATCCTATTCATCAGCACTGGCATTCTAAGACAGGCTTGATCAATACCTCTCATTTGGGTTCGTGGCCAGATTATTGCAAAATTGATTATGGGCAAAACACGAGTAGGTTAAGGTTTTCAAATGCTCTCACTATTAAGCTGCAGTCACAGAGTATTAAATGGTGAACAAACAAATCTTGCCGTCCCTGTGGTTAAAGTGGAGCGATGTTTTCCTGCCTCCCTCCTGCCCTTGCACAACAGGTAGCACTGACCTGTCATCTAACCTGTGATTTCATTTCTGAAACTAAATCTATTCTGTGACATGACCCCCAAGGGGATAAACTGAGTTTTTAAATAGCATCAGTTGTAATGAATTATGTTTTATTTCCATTTAGGGTGCTGCCAACTGCAGAGTTAAGGGATTGTGAGATAATTAGAAACTTGTTAAAGTTTGTAATAGATATTTTATGATGGCAGCCTTGTCAACCACAGCCAGAGGTTGCATTAAGAAAAGTAAATTATTAGATTTAGGTCTATATAGTTAAATGTTATTACACACTTTTATCCCCCAAAAGTTTGGGGTTAAAACCAATATAATCCCATCAAAATGAAATTGTCTGTAAGTAGAAGCCATGGTGGTCTGCAGAATTGCCATATTTTCTTCCCTAAAGAAGGGATTACAGAGACCTGTGTGCCCTACTCCTGATTCCAGGGGGAAGGGCAGGATTGAGCCACTCAGGGATATCACAAAGGTACAAGGTACTAGAGTTCAGCTCATAAAAAAAAATAAGATTGAGAGGTTACCATCTATGTTGACTGAGAAAATATGTAATTTTTTCTTACGATTCATAACGAACAAACTTAAAAGAAAAAAAAATTAGGTAGTTAACCACACAGACATACAATTTTTTTCCACAGCCAATACTCACACATACAGATAAAAGTGCATCATGTAGCAGCCTATTTTGAGATAAAAGGGAAAATAACCACATCCATCCACTGTTGCATAAAATAATCATAGTTCTGATAATCTCAAGCATATTTCTGTATTGCTATTTAAAGAATAATGGAAAGCTTATTTGTGTATTTAAATACAACTCTGACTTGTGAACACACTCCATTTCAGTTGCTCAATGACAAAAATAACATTTCCTATTAAAATCTGAGAGCATAATAAGGAAGTGAATTCACCAGGCTTAAACAGTGCACCAGTAATGCAGAACAACTGATCATCAGTTACATGGTACTTAAATATCTACCAAATCCTTAGAAAGCTCTTTGAAATGCAGTTTTTGAAAACAAACAAACAACCAAAACAGAACAAGGTGATGTCAGGAATCAGTAAAACACAGAGAGGAATGAAATCTATAATATGAGTCATAATAGAGACACAGATATTTCCATCAATTTGTCAGAAGGAAAAGATCATTAATATCCTGAGGATGTTAGAAAAAACATTTCCACACACTGAAGGATCATAAACACGAATGTATTCTTAAATATATTCTGCAGCAACATTTAACTCAAACTGGTTTTTTTCCGTTCTGCATAACCCTGGACCAATACATTTCCAATTTCTTCACACATAAATCATTTGTATGTGTAACAACAGCAGCATGTGTGTAATACATACAATTTAGATATGTACTATACTGAAAATATTCTCCCTACGTTTTCCTTCTCCCATGAATTTCTTAGAATGTTTGTGCTTTAAAATGTTAGGTATTCTTTGCCTGAATTCCCTGTACTTCCTGAAAAATGCCTCACATTTCCTCAGTTTGCCAGTAAATAGATTAATGCACATAAATGCTTTAGTATAGATTGTTTCACTTCAATATGTTCAGATTATGGCACAGTTTACCCTGTGCTTAAACCTCCAGTGTTATCTGTGAAGATGTCTGGGATTAAAATGCTGTGAAAGTATAAATATCAATTACATACCTCATTTAAACATAACCAAACAAATTTAGACTCTGGATTTCTTCTAATCCACGAGTAGCGTTGTGAGTTTAAAAAAAAAACAAACCAATTACAACCCAGCACATGTTTTATGACACTCAAATTTCTTTGGCACGTGGGAGTCCTTTATCAAAGTTAAAACACAAACCCCCTTCCACAGCACCAGAAAGCTGGTTTTGTGTCTGGTATAAAGCAAAAACCATGTTATTTTCCCCTCAAGCGGGGCTGTCTGAAGCCTTCACGTCACACACCCAGTCACAGGGACGCAGCAACGCTGAAGTGAAAGGATGACATCCCGTCCAGCTATAATTGACTCCGAGGAAACATCAGGCATTTGGGGGGGGGGGGGGGGGGGTAGAGGGGGGACAAAAAACAACCAGGACACATCCCTGCCATTGCCAGTCGGGAAGGAAAACCATAAGAGCCTACCTGAGACAAGCGAGACTGTGTCTTTCTCCCATGAGACAACAGTGATGTATGCCTCCACAGAGGAGGGGATAATGCACTTGAACACTGCTACATTGCCTCTCATGGCTTTCTGGTCCTCCACACGGACTGTATAGGGTTCCCGTAAAACTGGAAGGGGGGAGGAAAAAAGAGGTGCCATTAAACAACATCTCATCCATCTCCTCGGTCAGCCTCGCAAAGCCCCCACCCCCCGAGAAGGCGGCTCAGGTTGTGAGCTCTTCTGCCTCGGTAAAAAGGACACCCTTTTGCAAAGTTAGTATCTGAAAGCGTTCCCAGAGCTGTTTGTTTGCTCAAAATCTGCGTGTCGCCGTTCCTGTGCTCTTCCCCCCACCTCATCCTGAGGTAAGGACTGCGTGTGGATGTGGGTAAATGGTGTTATGCCTCCTGTTAACTTGTCTAGTTTCTCGTGCCGTGTTTCCCTTCGCGAAGGGTTTTCTGCCCTGTCAGAGGGCACGAGGAACATGCAGGTTCTGCGTGTGAATTAGACATCCAGAGGGGAGAGGAGAAGGTCAGTGTCATTCAGGGTTTTGAAGAAGTCAGAACTAAAGGAGAAAAATCAATGGAGGTGACAGCAAGAGAGAAAAACCAAAGTGTCTCAGAAACACAGAGAAATGAGAGTACGTAAGGTGAGAGCTACACTGGATTGACCAGCCCTGAAAGAAATCAGATAATGGTAAGAGAACAGAAACAAAAGCATGATTGCAGCAAGTAAAAACATGTTACAGTAAAAAACAGCCCAATTCAAAAAAACACTTAGGTGCAGACTTACTTGTCTCGCATCTGAAAGAATTAATTTAATGAACAGAAAGAAAAAAGCACAGCTGGACGGAAAAAGAGGATAAAAGCACAACTGGAGAAATCCCAGTATTGCTGGGATGATATGCAGTTGTGTTGTGTAGGAGAATGGAAAGAAGGAAAATCCTGGCTCGGAAATAATTCCATGAAGAATTAAGGGATGAAAATTTCCGTGAGCAATGGTTAGAGAAGGTGGTAGAGCAGGGAGAAGACAGATATTGTCCACTGCAACATGTAAGTGGGGGAGACAGGACAGGTGAAGCCAGTGAATCCTTTTCAGAGCTTACAAAAGCATTTCTATACATCAGGAGCACTGGGCTTTCTAAGAGTCAGCCCCATTTACAATGTATTTCATGAAAAAAAAAGGCAGGCTACTGAGATGTAACTGTAGACTTCACAAATGCAAACAGCATCAAGCTTTCAGGTCCAGCACTACCACCGCAAGAAGGAAGAGTGAAGTTCTCCACCCCAAACCTTGCTATAACAACATAACTGTTAGAAGCCCTAACTAAAAAGTAAATTTAATAAAAATAAATTCAATTAAAAATTAAATATCTTTTTTAAAAGAAAAAAAAAATTTCTATTTAAGATAGCCACCACTAGTTTTTAAGAAAATAATTTATTTTTAATCAAAGTTTAAGATTCCTAACCCTGTTGTAAGTGTTGAACTGATATTTTAAACACTTTAATGCAGCGACTTTACAACAGTGGCTGCCCTGTGATGAAGCAGCCCCCTAATCTTGTTCTACACTGAGGGAATGGCACATAGATCATCTTAATGAGGCTGACTTTTGTCTAAAGCTCCTGCTCCAGCCATCATTTACAGAACAGGCCTGCTTAGCAGCAATATCCTAACACACTGCTAAAGGTATTTGTGCTTTTCAGAGCAGTTGGCCATTTTGAAAATCTGGCCCAAAACCACAGAAACCATGTGGGGCACAAAAACTGTAAAGAGGTTTATTCACATCTTAGCTTAAAAAAATTTACATTACTGTGATTTAGGAGGCCCCCCCATCTGTTTCCAGATCATAGTTTTGACACTTCCCATGAATAAACTGACGATTTTCACTTTCAATTTTTTTTTTTTTTTTTAAATCCCAAGTCCCCAAGTCATTAATTTATATGGGAATTCCTTTGCTAAAAAAATATACTCTTCCCTGCCATGACTGCAAAAGGAATCTTGAAGATAAAAAGGAGACATGCACCTTTAATCCCAGGTGGGACAGGCCTGGAAGAGGGTTGGGTTTGGGTTCACTGGTGTGGGGGATTTGTTTTTGGAGGGGTTGGGGATGTGTGTTGCACTACATGCAAAATTACACGAAAAAGCACAATTGCAATAATTTGTGAGCTGGAAGTTTTGTATCTGCTTCCCCTATCCTTGGGGAAACAGGTAGGTGAGGCTCAGACTTTCTCCAGGCAACCCTGAGAATGGGCAGAGCTGTGTCAGTCCTTGAGCTATGAACAGAAGCTCCACAAAGCTGCTGCATTTTTAGGAAAGCCTGTTGCTGTTGGAGGGGCACTGCAAGCAGGAGGAGACAGAGAAGGGGTTAGAAAAGGCCCCTCTAAAATCATCCCAGTCAGGGCCAACCTGAAATAGTGCTCAGATTTCTCGTGAAAGCACCACATAAACAAATGAAATTCACAGTTTCGCATTTCAGCAGCAACAGGGTTTATCACCTGAGCATGAAATGCACTTGCTGCTGTGCACTGAAGGCTCTCAAAGTTGTGTTTTGCTATGACTGAGGGACTACACGTGCCTTTGGAAAAGATGCTCACTAATAACTATTGTCTGCCATCAGGCACAGTGACAGCTCTGACACACAGTATCAGTTCACATGAAGGAAGGGGACTTGTTTAACTTGTTATCCAAACCTCAGATTAACTGAGAAATTGAGTCAAATGGAGAAATGAGTGGTAAAAGGTTAAAAAAGGGAAAGAAAAGAGGTAAAGGGGCATTTCTGACTTGGCCAGAAATAAAAAAGTTGTTAAATTATAAGTCAAGCAGCTACAGCTGCTACTGCAAAGCCCTGTTTCCAGGTCCTTTTTCTATTTGCAAAGGTTATTTCTCAAACAGAGCAAGATTTCTTTTGGGGTCATTGTGTCATTGCTGGGCAACAAACAGAGCTACATCTTGTCATCCCTATCATCTGCTTTACACCTAAATGGACACCAAGCAAGTCACTGCAAGTTTTAGCCTCCTTTACATCACTTTTAATTTATCTAAGAAATAGAAAAATTAAAAACTAATACTGGGAAAAAAAAAAACTGATGCCCAAAAGATGTTCAAAATTGAGATACACAAACAAATCCACACATGAAAAAAACATATGATGTTGTCTCTAAATATAATTCTGAGAGACAACTTGCCCACAAATCCATGAAAGTAAAACCAAAAGCACAAAAAACAGAAGTGAGTTTCAACCATTAAGTTGGTTACAGTGTGTTCTTATGAATCTTTGATTTTCAAGCTTTTCTTTGTGGACAACTGAACATTTTCATAAGAAGCACAGACCATTATGGAAACTCCCCGTATATGTAACACAATAACTTGCTTCTTGTGCAAGAAAACCCACTTTTCTAGACTTAAATTTTAATGAGACATGAATTTCATGGAAACCTGGTTTTTATTCTCGCCTTCCCCATTGTCTACAAACTACAGATCTCTGAATGTTAACTTATTGGTAAGAAGAAGAGAATACATTTTCCTATTTAAAGAGAAAGTCACAGGGAAATCTACTTGCTAAGTGTCCACGGTTTTCCCTGTCAAAGTCCTGTGACGACAGATCTCCAAAGGAAAGATAATTCCCTCCTGGGAAAAGGCAAGCTCAGCTTCACCAACAGCAAAGAGTTTCTCTGGATTTGCATGTGCCAAAGGTCAGTCCCAGACTACTTTTTGTTTGTTTGTTTGAATATTTTAATTAACTGAAGTGGGTAGACAAAAATCTTCAAAAACCACACAATCATGTGTTGATGTGTTGATGTGTTGATGTGTTGTAACAAAAGGCCTGATTTTGATCCCACTCTAATTCCCCACTGGCTGACCCAGCCAGCAGAGAAAACAGATGCAAAACCATTGTGCTCATTTGCATCTTTCAGCCTTTTTACCCCAAAAATAATTCAAACTAAGGAGGAAAGAATCCAGAATTTTACTGAATATTGTTGAGAGTTCAGAGATTACATTTCTGTCCAATCTCCCTTGATTTACAGCTGCTGCTGCCCTTTGAAACACCAAAGTTTCCCCCCTCCCCAAGCCCCTTTGAACCCAAATAAAAGACTGTCCTTACCAGCCTTAATGTGAACATCCTGACTCCTGATTTTCCCTGAAGGATTTTCAGCTGTGCAATAGTAAGTGTTATCATGGATTAAGTTATTAAAGCTTGAAGGAGGGAAGGGGAAAATTTGGAGAGTGCCATTGGGGTGGACGTGGCGGATCCCTGGGACATCGTAGATCTCCTCGCCCGTCGCTAGGTACCATCTGAGCGTCACAGGGGGGATCCCTGCAGCTGGACAGGGGACCAGTGTCCCTGTGGTGCTGGCAAACACTACCTCTTGCAGAGATGCATTGACAAAGTATAGACTGGCGTGTAGCTCTTCACTGAAAACTGCAAGACAGAAAAAGAAAAAAAAAGAAGAAACGTTGAAAATTGAAGAAGTTTCAGCCACGCGAAACTATTCGACACCGAACTCAAATGTGGCACCCAGAGAAAGTAATCAAAGCACCTGGGATCCCGAGGCGAGCTCTAATAAAAAATGTTCCTTGTTTTCAAAGGAAGTATCACCAGATTAAACACACTAAGTGTAGGTAAAACAAGAAACTCCTTTCAGTGTAAGCTGATACAGGTCCGTTCGCTTTTGCATTTGCTGGTGCAACACTCTTTGTGAGCCCAGCAAAAATGTAGCAATCTACTTTTATGAAATTTCTAGCAACTAAATTTCTGCCTGGAACACAGGCAGTTGCTGTTGGCATCTCTAAAATTATTTCTACAGTCTTTCCATGGCAAAAATGATGCACGAAGTAATAAAAAGAACCGAGCAAACAGTGGAAAAATCCCCATTATTCCTCAGTTACAGTACATATCTCTACTTAATACAGATGCAGCTTAAAAATAGATTATATCACTTGGTCAGATCTTTCTAACAAAGACCTATAAACCTGGCTAAAAAGCACGCTTGTGATAATCTTGGTTCTGCCACCCATGTGACTGGAGTCCCCCTCCCAACCAGAAACTTTGGATTCTATTGCACTGAAAAAAGTCTGTATTGGTCAGAGTACAGGGTTAGCCCCTTTTCCTCTGAACACTCCTGCCAGGGGTTATTCTGCTGTTACCCAGAGGACTTCAAAGTTCCAGGTGGCTTGAAGGCACCCCAATATTTCATCCAAAGTACCTTCCTAACCTTCTCTGTCTGAGAGCATATCAGCACAACACATGATTTTTGTTTTCCAGTAAATGGTAGGATACATTCCAATACCACCACTCTGCTTCACGTTTCCTAATAGTGCTCACTTGTGAAAAACACACCAGTTTAGCCTGACACAAACACAGAAACTTGAGTATTTCACTGTATCTAAAATGCAATAGATTCTGACATGACTTTCTAAAGCAAGTCTGAAAAGGTGACCATAGTGCAACAAGCCCCAGTGAGCCTCAGTGAGACAAATTTCAGTTTTGCCTTCATTTGCACAAGACGGATTCTCTAACCCTGCAGAAAGAACCTGTAATCCCAATCCTAAATCATGAAGTGCCTTGTCTACCTCTGCCTCTTATGGTAACCTGGAGCACAAAATAAGCTGTTTTATCCTTCTCTCTTTTGGTATCCTGAGAAGATACAAGGTGGGAAGGCGTTGCCCTCTAAATATCATCTTGATAGTGACCATGGGGAGAGACTCAAAAGAGGGCAAAGCTGGCTCTGGGAATCCCTAGAAATAGAAAAGTAAGGGAGACAACTCCCCAATAAATAAAGATGTCTGGCAGGCAGGAGACAGACAGATAAATGAGCACCACAGAGAAGGATGAAAGGCACTTGGAGACTCAGAAAGGAGGAATTTCAAGCACTGGAGCTGAGCCCCTGCATACAGATAAGACAGGTGCTGCTACAGAATAAAGTCCCGTGCAAAAAACAAATTCCACCTAGTTGGTGCAACCCCCCAGGAGAAAACTGGGTACCTGGAAAACAAAAATAGTCATAATAGGACTAAGCCCAGGAAGAAGCAGGACTGAATAAGATGGTGCCACTTTTACATAATCACAGTTCTAATTATAGTTGTACTTTGAAGCAGAGAACAGTATTGTTGGTAACATAATAGAGAACTAAAAAAAAGAAAAAAAAAAAGAAAGAAGAATTTGGCATTGTTCATCTGCTGTTCAAGCCCTTCTCCACAAATACAAATGAAACAATCAACAGGGCATTTTAATTTCCATTGGCCAACAAGACAGTCATGGAGAAGTAATAAACACAGTTCACATTTGCCAACTTTTATTATGCTGTACTGCTTCTTAACACGTATTCAAGCAAAACCAGTAGATTCCCTGGCCAAGAACAAAGAGGTGAATACCAAATTAGAAATGCCATAAAATTAGGGAATATCAGGAACTCCATTTGACACTTCCATAGAATCGAACTTTCTAATCAAATGCAGCACAGCTGAACTAGAGACTCATACCAGCAGCACATAACAATGAATTTTTCCAGCTGCTTTGCATCCCCTGTAGAAGCTTTCACTACTTTTGACAAACTTTCCATCCGTCAGCCTATACAATAGTGCTTCATTTTAAAGCAGCATCTGCTGCACATTCATCTTCATGGCAGCCCCAAACACACCAAGATCCCTGGAAAATAATTGTAGTGCTGTAATGCACACACATAAACACAGTGCTGACAGTCCAGATGCCTTTTGTGGTGGAAAACACCGTGTAAGCTACTTGGAGGCATTCAACAACATTGAATTGCAGAAGCCTTTATTAAAAAGATATTTCTCTGCAACGTTCCACAGGAAGAGAGTGATGAACTGAATAACAGAAGAAGTGATTTATCCCAGCCTAACTGGAACTGAGGCAATTTGGAGACGATATGCAATTATATGTTACTTAATGGTAAAATATGATCCAGCTAAACAACGTGTTTTCCTGCAAGCTCAGACTAAGGATTGCAAGGGAGGGCTGTAGAGGAAGTTGATGGAAGTTATTGATATAAAACAGCAGAGAGAAATACCTGAAGAAAAGAGAAATACCTGAAGAACCAAGTTAACAGATAAATAAATGAAAGGTCATCATAAAAGAGAAGGCAGAACTGAAACAGCTCACAGTCGAGTGACTGCACTTGGCCTGGACAGAGATGACATCAGATGGCACTGGTTGGTGGGGCAAGAGAAGAAAAGGCAAAGATTCCTCCTAAATATTATTTATTTATTTCTAAATCAATAATTCTTGAGGGAAACAGAAGGAAGCACCTCAGCAGTGCTCAGTGGATGCCCCAGCTGAAATGAGAGGGTGACAAACAGTCTGCAACTGCAAGAATTTTGGGGCAAGAAGATACAGATCTGTGCCCTCAGCTGTGTGGTTAAAGGGGCACATCAACAGTTTATGAGATCAAGAGACACAGGACAGGAGACACTTCTTGATTCTAAGGTTCAATAGGTACCATTATCCTCCTCATACAAGAACAGGAAGGGAGGAAGGGGAGGAGGAAGTAAAGGGAGGGAGAAGGGGGTGGATAAATGTTTTTCCCTTTCCTCCACCCTTCTCATTGCCCCCCTTCAGACTGCTTAACCTGCAAGAACCTTTACCCAAATGACACCAAAAGGGAAAATCTTCCATAGAGTTTGCACGTAATAGAAGAAAATGTTATATTTTGTATTGCCAGAATGCAATGGAGGAACTTGGTGTTGTACATTTCCCTTTCATCATGTTTTCTTTCACCTTTTAGTAAGTTTAAATAACACCTTTGTGATTTTGAAGTTATCTTTTTGGGCCTAATGTTCTTCCAAAGACCTCTTCCCGTATCCTGCAACTGTCCATTTAAAGCCCCATTTTTCTCTTCAGTTCTTGAAAGCAACAGAGAACTCAGCACACCCAAAAATACTAATAAAATGTCTGTGAACAATTAATTGAAGCTGATATTTAATTCACCTTCCCTGCCCATTTCAAGGGCTTAATACTAACCCTGTAATGCTTTTGCAAGTGGAAAGTTTGGTCCTAAATGAATAACAATTTCAAAAGTAAGGGGGGAAAATCAGTTCTCATCCCTTTGATTAATCAAATTCAGCATGAAATATTTATATAGATAAAATAAAAGATATGAATCAAAGTGAAAGTCTGGAGCGAAGAGACCACTGAGATTATTTAGATAAAATAAAAATCAAAGTAGGAAAGATAAATTATGTAATTAAGCAGTCGACTGCTCTCCTGCACCACAGCAGGTTTATAGCAACAGCCTTGACTGTCTTACAGTGGAACATCAGGTTTGCCACAGCCTTGGACATCGAAGTTTCATCTTTTCTCTGGAACTGGGCAACAATCAAATATTTTCTTCAGATTTAACAGATTACATAAGGTGTCACCTTCAAATTTATTATTTTTTTCACTGTTAAATGCAGCCACCTAAACACAAGAGCCATAGAAGCAAACAGAATGAGCACAATAAAAGCAGAGGGGAAAAAATGTAATGAAAGTAGGAAAAGGGCAGTGTAGAATAAAGTGTCTGTCAGAAATCAGTGATCCAAGAGCATCCCTTTTCCTGAAAGTTTTTCCCAGTGCTGACACTTGCAGTCTGCAACCGGAATGGCAGACGCCTGGGAATGCTTTGTACCATGATGGGATGACACATTCCAGCAAAAGACAGCTCTGACAGTCGGGAGGATTTGTTCCAGGCACCTTCTCAGCCACAAAAAGCAGGGGCAGAGACACATTCCCCAAAGTATTTCAGGGACTAAGAACCCAGATATTCTTATCAATGCATCGAGCTCTAATCAAAGCTTAAGAAAAACAAATAAAATATCAGCAGTCTGCCTGGCACAGGCACGAGCCTAAAAGCACCCACCCTTTGCCAGTCCTGACACCAAAAATTCTTTAACCCGTCTCCAGGTTTCAGAAAATTCAAAGTCAAGGCTATTTTTTGGTGTTGATTTCGTTGTGGTTTAGTGGGAGAGGTAGCACATAAAAAGCAATAGGAGAATCACTGCTAAAAAACCAAGACAAAGATGTTCCCTTTCTCCCCCAAAAGAGTGGGGGGAAGGGAGGCATAAAGGAGATTTTCTGCCAAAATGGAAGGAAGAGGTAACAAGAGAGGTGGAAGTCAGAAGGAGCCCTCAAGAAGGGATTTTTAAAAGAACTCCTCAGGAACCCACATCTCAGGAGAGATCTTGTACTGGCAAGACACCTCCTTTTTCACAGGCCTGAAATCAGAGTAGGAAGCAGGCAAGGAGACATCATCTTAACCATAGCCATTAAAGACATACAGCTATTAGGTGGAGACCTAAATATACTGAAAGCCCCAAATACAGCAAAACAACTGAGAAATTTAAAAAGCAGGAAAATTAAGCCCCGTTTTCCACGTGGTCAGTGAAAAACATTGAAATCCTCATTAGCAGAGGAAAATAAAATAT